GTGAAAGGCATCTGGATGCTGAGCACATGGCATTGGCCGTGCCTAAGTTTGGACCCCTGTGTGATCCCTTTGGGCCTAGAATGTAGGAAGCCCATCCAGAAGGCAGCTGCAAGTGACCTCTTTCCCACTATGAGTAGCCTCTTACCCACTACTGTGTCTGCTGTGCGTTTATACAATTCAATCCATGAAGGAGAGGACAGCTTTTTCTTAGCTCAGGGTTTTCCTCAACTCTAGTCCTCTGTTCTCAGAGACCATAAACTGCCATATATTAGTGATTTTTTTCATTTGTACAGCAAAAATTTATCGTCTATTATGTGCCAGGTTTTGTATTTTTTTTAAAGTCCCCTATATTTGTATGGTAAAGTTAAGTTTTGGTATTTTAAAGGTGTGTGCTAGTATCTTGAATTTTCATAGAACTCTGGATATTTTCTAAAGAGACTTGATTGACTTTTCTGTAGAAATTAGATTATTGCTTAACCAGATCTGCCTCTGTTTGGAGAACTGTCATAGTTGAAACTCCTGAAGATAGTGGCCATTTTTCCTTTTGTGGATTCAACTTCAAGATTTTATTATATCAGTGTCATCTAGAAATTAGTCAGTTGATTTGTACAAAGTTACATTTTGTTTCCTTTGTATATTGCACTTACTCTTACCACTTAAGTAACAGACTGGAAAATCAATTCTCAGGCCTAGAGAACTCTTGACAGTAGACTTAAGTAAGAATTATACAAGCAATATGAATATATTGTATGTGTATCCAATAGCAATATAATTTGCTAGCTCTGCCTTGGGAACTAAATGGAAATAAGGGAAAATGCATATTGATAATTTTTATGACTTTAGAATTTTAAATAAATGAGATCAAAATTTCTCATTTTTTTCATTGCAGTGCTTTTCTTGTAATTTTGTAAATTGAAACTTGAAATGTAAGGATATTGATTTCATATTAAGAGCACTCTCAAAAGAATTGATATTCCAAAGTCCATTAAAAAAAAAACCCTTAAAACCCATCTCCTTGGTAGCCCGAGGTTTTGAAATTTAAAAAAATGATAATTAGGTACATAAAAATGAGTAATTATCATGCTATGGTTTGAATGTGTCTCCTCTAAAATTCAGGTGTTGGAAACTTAATCCCCAGTGCAACAGTGATGGGAGGTGTTTAGTTCATGCAGTCTCTGCCCTTGTGATTGGATTAATGCCATCATAAGAAGGGCTTACAGGAGTGGGTCCTCTCTTCTGCACTTNAAAAAAAACCCTTAAAACCCATCTCCTTGGTAGCCCGAGGTTTTGAAATTTAAAAAAATGATAATTAGGTACATAAAAATGAGTAATTATCATGCTATGGTTTGAATGTGTCTCCTCTAAAATTCAGGTGTTGGAAACTTAATCCCCAGTGCAACAGTGATGGGAGGTGTGGCTTTTGGGGAGGTGTTTAGTTCATGCAGTCTCTGCCCTCGTGATTGGATTAATGCCATCATAAGAAGGGCTTACAGGAGTGGGTCCTCTCTTCTGCACTTCTACCATGAGAGGACATAGTGTTCCTGCCTTTTGGAGGATGCAGCATTCAAGGTGCCATCCTGGAAATAGAGAGACTTGTCCCTAAACTGCTGGTATCTTGATCTTGAACTTCCCAGCCTCCACAACTGTGAGCAATAAATTTCTATTCTTTATAAATTACTCAGTCTCAGCTATTCTGTTACAGCAGCACAGAATGGACCAAGACATATCAAGAGCATGTTTTAAATAAGTAATGCGGTAAATATAGAATCTGGAGAGGAAAGACTCTGCTACTCACTAGCTGTGTGAACTTGGATGAGTGACTAGCCTACATTGGATGAGAATAGTTTAGTAGCTTGCACACTTGTCTCACTTTCTTCATTAAAAACAAATTACATGGTGTTGAGGACTAGGTTAGGATGTTTATGATGGTGCTCCTAAAATTACAGCATGCTCGTCACATTCGGGGTGTCATTGGTATATAATTTTGATTCTGGGACATTGGAAACCCACTTTGGATCCATTCTTTGTGAAGAAATGCCCCAGTCAGGTGAATTTTAGCAGAGGTCCTATAATCTCAGGACCTCAAGGCACGGGAGCTAGGAAGCCTGTAGTCCTCCTAGAAGATACATGCCTTTCAAAGGATCCCCCAGGAAAAGGCTCCTTTATGTGATTTTCTGAAGTTTCTAGCCTTAACTTTCTTGTTTAGTGTTTTTTGGGTTTTTTGTTTGTTTGTTTGCCTTTTTTCCTCATGTCCCTTGAGGGGATTACAATCACTCAGACCAAAAACAAAGACTTAGAAAGCGAAGAAATTTACTCATTCGACCTCTGAATTTGGGGAGACATAAATTAGACCAGAAAAGTCTTACTTTGTGAACGCACAGACTTGTAAAAATCTGCTAAGCTTTTCTTTTTGCGGGGGGGGGGGGGG